AACAAAAGTTTATCGGAGGAGAGTGAGGGTTCGCGGTTGTGGTGGCTTCTTATTGGCTGAGTTATTGCTGGGCAAGGAGGAACCCTTCCTCCTGCTGGGGTGTGTAAAGTAACCTTCTTGCTGGTGAGTGTAAAGTAAGCTGTAATGGATGGTACGTGCATGAGAACTCTCCCCTCATGGCTTCCCGAGTCCATTTGGAATGAGGTTTTCTTTTATTCATTTTCACACTGTCTACACAGTTTACATGACAACCTCTTACTACAGTGGCAGCCTCTTCATTGGGGACTGTTATGAAACAGTATAGATCTTTCCTCTTTCCTCAGAAAAAAACTGTTTTTTGTAGTCAAAAGAAAATTAGGAGCAGCCGAAAGGGGAATATTAACGACACTAAAACCTAATCGTTATTCAGCTTTAACTTTAAATCCTACCTCCTCTTCCACGAATTCCTATTAATTCATCAGCTAAATAATGTGGCTGCTTCTAAAGATTCTGACATCTAATTCTCTGCCTGTGTAGGTTTATTGTCAGGGTGAAAAATACTTTGTCTTTTTACTTTCATTTTTAAAAACAAGCATAATAAAAATATGAAATAGTCTTTAGGATTTATCTAAGAAGACTTGGCAGCTACTTTGAGAGATGGTTGGATGGGGAGATATGAATCAAATCTGGAAGTGCTCTCTCCCAGCCTTTTAGTCACTATTTGAATAAGTATGGGCTGATTGCGCATGGTGAAGATCTCTCTATCAGTATTTTTAACTATGACCCATATCCATTTGTTTCTTTTAAACTTTAACATATAAAGGGTAATTTTTGAGATGGTAGAGGACTAGGAATTACCCATGTTATGTCTTGTAAATTGTGACAGTTGTCATCCTTGGACTAAGTTGGATTTACAAAATATCCCACAAGTAGTGCACTAATTATTCCCTTTCGAGGTGTAAACCTGCAGTCGGGAGGCTGATAGCTACTATTGGGAGGTAGCTGGGAATGTTTATAAGTGCAGAAGCATCATTTTACAGATTGAATCATCAGTGGGGGTACCCGGTAGGTATAAGAAATGCTGTAATTCTGACTCCACATGTGCCCAGTTTTTACCCCTAGGGTACAAAATTCTGGATATAGTTTACGGAATGAGTTAATTTAAGTCCACTTAGATGGCAGAGGTCCCTTTCAGGCACAGTCAGATTAGTTCATTAACTGAGGCAGGCCTGGGCGTGGATGGACTTTGCCCATTCCTTAGGTTCAAACGCATTAAAGAGAAATGAGCCAAGGGGAGATACAGTTCCTTTCAGAGAGAACTAAAGGAGCAAGACCGAAAGAAATAGAATACTTGGGTACGCCTAGATTCGTACTGTCTGTCTCATTAACTTCCGATATAAATTATCGTTTCATGTACTCCAGCCCTGGGCTTACTTCTAATGCCCACATTGTAAACCTATTTCTATGGCTGCTGTATAAACAAGTTTAACTTCTTGACTAGGTTTGGAGAGACTGGAGAAACCCTCCTGGCAGCTTTAAGCTGCTAGTAGTGTAAAATACAACTACTGGTCTCCTTAGCATAGCTATGTTCAGTACTTGGCAGGGAATATTGGTCTTTCACACTGTTTTCCCTTTGGAATCTTAATATTTAAAAAAATGACTTCAGAATTTCCCTTCCTTCCCCTTCCCTTCTAATTCCCTCCCATTTAAAAAAACAAACAAACAAAAAGAAAACGAGAAGATTCCTGGACCTCTCTCAATCAACATTCAACTTCCAAATAAGATGTAAGCATCATGGTGAAAATCTTACTAAACTAATTAGTTTTATTAATTCCTTTCGAATGGTGTCTTCATGTTCACCTACCATTCTTGTCAGGGGCCCAGCAGGAAATATTGGGCCCACAAAAGATGAAAGCAACCCATGTCCACTGACAGATAAATGGATAAGCAAAACGTGGTGCATACGTACAATGGAAGATTACTCAGCCATAAAAAAGAAGACAGTTTTTGACACATGCCACAACATGGATAAACCTGTAAGACATTATGTTGCGTGAAATGAGCCAGTCACAAAAAGACATATACTGTATGATTCCACTCATACGAGGTGTCTAGGCTACTCAGATTCATAGAGACAGAGGATAGAATGGTGTTTGCTGGGGACTGGGGTGAACGTTGAATGCAGAGTTACTTTTCGATGGGTATAGAGTTTCAGTTTTACACAATGAAAAGAGTTCTGGGGATGGGTGGGGGTGATGGTTGCACAACAATGTGAATATACTTAATGCCACTGAACCGTACACTTAAAAATGGTTCTGATGGTAAATTTTATGTTATGCATATCTTGCCACAATTTTTTTTAAAAGCTGTAGTATGAAAAAGCTCAATACCTAAATAGTCAAAATCAAATTTCTCCACCATGATTCTTATGCAAAACAATTTTATAAAAGCTATAAGTCACTTTCTGAATGAATTCATAATCAAGGTGGGCTCTTGCGTAATTTGATTTGGTCAGGAACAAAAATCAAAACCCAACAGAGTGAGAGCTACCTGAGGGGACCTCAATAATTCCTGAACTTTGAAAAATGCCCTAAGCTTCTATTTATTTATAATGAAAATTCTATGCATATTCTGAGCTGTTTGTATCTGCATGACTCTTTACAAAGCAGGTAAATAATTCAAACAAATTTGCTCACCTGGCTATCTAAGGGGAGTAAGAGGCCGAGGCTAGGTTTCTAGCCTATTCTTCTGACAGTTACTGAGTTTTGTTCCCCAGATGTGTGTACGTCGCCAGTGTCCCATGACTCATCAGAGGCATGTGGCATAACTCAAGGTATAATTTCTCTCTTTACCATCCTCTTCCCACTTCTGAATGTATAATGTTTCATTTGAAGGGAAAAGAATTCCAAAGCCACTTCTCGTCTACTTGTACTTTTTCATGTGTGTGACTGTTGTTGTTGTTGTTGTTGTTGTTGTTGTCGTTATTATTATTATTATTATTACTACTACTACTACTACAACTACTGCTACTTCCTCTTCCTCCTCTTCCCTCCCCCTCCTCCCCCCTCCTCTTCTTTTCTTTTTTCCTTCTTCTTTCTTCAATGTGCATCCTAGACTTTTTAATACTCTTAGTGGCCTGCATCATTATAGACCTTAAGGAAGGCAAGAGTGCTCCCCAGACAGTGGTTCCTGAAATGAAGAATGAGGTTCAAGCGGAGAATCCATGAGGTCCACTTGGCCGGACAGGGGGGCTGGTACAAAGACAGTAAAAGATGTGAGATTTCTTCTTTTCCTTTCCACAGGTTCCAAAAGACTTTCTTTCTGCCCCTTACTTAGAAACCATCCATTAGTGTCACCTTCTGTGAAGATTAACTTTTTGCATTGACTTGACTGGACCACCGCATGCCCAGACATTGGTCAGACGTTTTTCTGGGTGCGTTTGTGAGTGTTTCTAAAGGAGACTAACGTTTGACTCAGTAGGCTGAGTAAAGTGAAATGCCCTCCATCATGCGAGTGGGCCTCACCCCACCAACTGAAGAGCCACATAGACCAAAAGACTGAGTAAGAGAGGACTCTGCTTGTCTGACTGTTGAGCTGGGACATCTGTCTTCTGCTCTCAGACTAGAATTTATACCGTCAGCTCTCCTAGGTCTCCATCTTGCCAGCAGCAGATCCTGGTACTTCTAGCCTGCATAGTCATGTGAGCCAGTTCCTTGTTCTTCGTATCTGTTATTGGTTCTCTTTCTCTGGAGAACCCTGACCAGTATGCCTGCATTGTTGGAAAGATTTGCAGCTTCTTTTTTGGACTTTATAGGAGTAAAGTTTTGTTTATGATGGAAGATAATACTGATAGTAGCAAAGGCCAATATGAAAATACTCACTTGAATGAGAGTCAGAAGATAAAGATTCTAACTTCAGTCTGTTACTAACCAGTTAGGTGAGATCAAGGACAGTCCAAGCTATCTATGTATAAGTAAACTTTTGCTGCCTTTCAAACCATTCTAGAGCTTAGTGGCTTAAAAATATATATATTCATTTAGCTCGTGATTCTTTGGATTGTTAGTACTTTTTCTGGTCTGGTTTTTTGCTCTTCTGGCTTTTGCTAGGTTTCCTCGGGAATCTTGGGTCAGTTGGTAGGTCAGCTGGTACTGGATCTAGGCTGGCTTCAGTCACATGTGGGAGGCAGCTGCCCAAGGCCCCAGGACTCGCAGCCCATCGTCTCTCATCCAGCCAGCTGGCCCTGGCTTCTTCACAGGGTGATCAGTGTTCCTAACAGCAGCCCAGAACCCAAGCATTTTCAAGTCTCTGCTGGTGTCACATTTCCTACTGTTCTCTTGGTCAAAGCAACTTACACAGCCAAGTCCAGATTCAAGGAGTGGAGAAATAGACTCCACCTCTCGTTGGGAGGGGCTGCAGGCACCTTGCAAGGGGTGTGCATACAGGGTTGAGAAGAATTGGTGGTGGTCTGGATTTGCAGTTTACTGCACCAAATCAGCCAATTTTACACTCCTCATTTAACTCTCCCCGTAGTTACTTGGGAGGTAGGCATTAGGACTGGCTTGGATTAGATCCCAGGTCTGACTCTTAAATTAGTCTTGTCAGCTCCTTTCAACACTTTATTTCCTTGGTGGCTTCAGATTCCAGGTACTCCTTTCTGAGTCAGGCGTCCTGCTGATTTAATTTCAAACACTCATCTGTCCAGATGGCATTTCACTCAGGAGGAATGGAGCAGCAGCTACATTTGGCATAATCACTATAAAGCGGAGCTGTTGAGCCATCAGTACATGTTTATTAAACACCTACTATGCGCAAAGAGCTTTTTGCAAGGCAGGGGGAGATCCTTAGTGAAGAAAGATAAGTGAGAAAATTTGTCCATAAAGTGTAGAAGTAAATAGTGTAAAGTGCCTAACACATACAGTATACTAGAGACCAACAGAGCCTCCTTTTAATCTCATGGGAAAGCATCATCTGTATGTAAAACCAAGAATTCTAAGGTTCCTGCCTTCTCCTCATGGCGGTCAGAATCTCTCGCCAGTCCCAACTTTGCTACCTTTTATTTTCCTCTTCATTTCAGGTCAGTCCCGAAAGATGATCGCCATCATTTCACTCCACCTTTTCTTTTTTAAGTCTCATCTCATAGATTCTGCTGAGCCGTTTGGACACATGAGGCAATTTCATCCACTTCCTCACTCGTGTCTCTTTTCTTCCAGGGAGGCATCACCCCCCGCCCCCTTCCTCCAACCCCCTGTGAACAGGTTTTGTTTCTAGTATAGCGATGAATTCTCAGAGACCCTTCCTGAAACACATCCGGGCCAGCCTCCTTGCCTCTGTTTCTGCTGCTTCCCATTCCGGGACTGTGCATCTCCTCCTGTGTGTCTCTTCTCTCCTCCAAGACCTAGCTGAACTCTTAGTTCATCCCGGAGCCTCTGAGCATCTCTGTCTTGGGACACAGCTTTATCTCAACTGAGAACTCCCATGGACTGGCTCGGGGCACCGCTTTACTGTTTTAAGGAGTGAGCCCTGTCCGCCAAGAGTGGTAGAAGGAAGGGGTGGTCTGCATCTGCCCCCACGCAGCCCCTCCCTGAGGGCCTGTAACACTGACTGCAAATCGGTCAGCTGGGACTCGCCTTCTCTTGTGTACTTTTAATTCATTTTTAAAATCTCTGTATCCTGCTGCCCAAGCATCATGCAAACCTCTTCAATAAAGAGACCAAGACTTTAGCTTTTTTTGCAGCCCCAGCACCTAAAACAAGCCCCTCTACATAGTAGGGCCTGTTTAACCAATCGGTGATGGTGGCGACCTGAATGTTTTTTGTGCTTTTACATCGGAGCCTGCATAATTTGCTTTTCCACAAAACACCACCATTCCAAACTTGTTCTTAACTAGATTAAGTCTATTGAGCGTTTTTGAAGTGTTTGGGTTGTGATGGGATTTCTTGCACGGTTCATTCATCTGCCTTCTATTTGCTTTTTATTCTGTTTTATTATTCGGTGCCATTGGGACGCTTCAGTTATTAAACCTCATGTTTCTCACGCTCTTTCCTTTCTGCCACCTCCTGTGATGATTTCTTCCTGAACTCCTTCTGGTCTCCTTCAATCTTCGTCTGAATGTCCCAGTGTAACATCCTCAAGTCCCATATCTCCTTCCAGAAGATTTCATGCAATCCCTTCTGGTCGTCATTTTAACATTTTAATCATTTTCATCTGAAGTCGCGACTTCTCTGATGAAATCCCCCTTCTGTCTGAGAAGGTAATCTGAGCTAGAAATACTCAGTAATCTGTATGTAGTCCTCTGATCAGATTTTATTCCTGACTTGATGCTTGTAATTCCTTTGCAAACAATTCTTCATTCGCTTGATTTTTCTACCTTTGTCTATGAACTTTTAAGATTTCAATTTTCATCTTTGATCTCAACACCAGGATCTGATCCAGGGTATCTATTGGTGGGGCAACCCCCACAAAATGCCTTTGATATCTGCTTAGAACAAGTACTATTTGGCTCGGCCTGGTCCTTACCAGCCTGATTAATTACCACCATCATAATTGTATACTGAATACAGCTGATTACTGCAAAAATAATAAGTGGAGTTCTTCATTTGTCGTACTATCTTTTCCCAACTTTTTGGGTAATCATCGTGATGCTCCAACCGTCTATCTGACATTTTGAAGGACCCTTGCCTACCATATGGGGGCAAGGCCCCAGGTGACATTCTCATGGCTCCTATAACCCCTCCTTAGCCCTTATGGTAATTGAAATTAAATGAGTATTTTGTATTCTTATTTGCTTTCTGTCTGTATACCCACTAGCTTGTTATTAGATAATAAACTTACTTCCTTATGAAGAAACATCTCTTTCTCACAGAAAGCGATAACAAAATGTAAAAGGACATGACGTTGATGCATTGAATTATCTCGAATTTAAGGTTCTCCCTGTCTTAGTCTCCCTGTCTTGAGCTGCTATCGCAGGGTTCCATAGACTGGGTGATTTATAGAACAGAAATTCACTTCTCACAGTTCTGGAAGTCCACGGTCAGGGTGCCAGGTTCAGGTTCTGGTGAGGACCTTCTTCCAGGCTGCAGTCTGCCACTTTCTGCATCCTCACGTGGTGGAAGGAAGGAACCAGCTCTGTGGCCTCTTCTAATCCAATTCATGAAGGTTCCACCCCCAGGACCTAATCACCTCCCAGAGGCTCCACTCCTCATCTCACCACATTGGGGGTTAGCTTTCAACACATGCGTGTGAGGTGGGACAAAATTTCAGTCCATAACATCCTTTATAGTGTTTTACTCAAGCAGCTGAGTGACAGTGCAGGGTTGTGATTAAGGATGTGGGCTGGGAAGCCAGACCTTCCATTTGCATCCTAGCTTTGCCATTGTGCGTCAGCGTGGGTCGAGGGGGTTACATAACCTCTCTACGCCTGCCTTTCCTCATCTGCAGTATGGGGACATAATATTAATCTCTACATTGTGGGGTCCACGTAGGGCTAAAACGAGTTAAGACATGTAAAGCACTGAGAAGGGTGCCTGGCACAGACATTCCTCATAAATGTTAGTTGTTATGTTTCCATCGTTGTTGTTATATCATTGGTCCATATTCTATGGCCTATCTGTGGTCCCAATTTCACGGTATTCTGTAAAAATTATAGTGTCCCATAAAAAAATACGAGTTCAAGATGCTGCTATCTCAACTTGCCTGAGAAGCATTGTTCAACCCATTTTCCTTTACACTAAATCGGGGCGAGGGTATAGGTAAGCGAGGGGGTGGGAGCACACATTCTTTGCTCTGTCCACAGTCTACACTCCTGGGAGGATAGTCTTCCCAAATACAGAAAACGAGGATTCGTCCTGCCTTTTCTTTCCATCTCGGTGAGGTGCTGGCTCCAAATTGGCAGAGACCCCTGTTCCACACAGGAAAGTTGGGTTAAAGGTAAATAATACAACTGGGACAAAGCTACCAAGTAACTGAAGCTGGTAGTTAGCACCCTCTTTCAAACTTAAGCTTCTTACTCCTTGGATTCTCTCCTCCCTATGAGCTATCCTGGATGTCCTCTCAAGAGAGGTGCTCTTGAGTGTCACGGTGACACTTTCACATTCTTCTTCCTGTCACCCAAGTGGGTAAGGAGTCAGAACTATCTCAGAAGACCCACTGCCTTTCCCACCCCACTCTGCTTCCCTAGCTCTAGAAACCCGAGGTCTCCCTGTCTGGTCCCCAGTATGTGCATATGTGCACACACACAAACATGCACACACATGCACACACGCATGCACGCACAAGCACACACACTCGTGCACACGCACATGTATGTGCGCACGTGCATGCACAAGCATACAAACACATGTGCACGCGCACATATATGTGCGCACCTGCATGCACGCACACGTGCACACACAAGCATTTTCAGTATCTCACCAGGGCCACGCTCTCTGTGCCTCACAATTATTTTCTGAGAAACGAATTCATACTTCTGGAGAAAATAGGATGTTAATGGTTAAAATCAGGGGCCTTGGGTTCAGGAAGACCCAAGTTGGAGTTTCGGTGTGGGCTCAAGTGGTGTGACTTGGCAACTTGCCTAGCATTTTTGAGCATCCTTCTTCTCCTTTGTAAAATAGGGATATCGGTTCATATTTCAGAGAGTGGTTGGAATGATTAACTGAGATATGTATATAGCATTTAGCATAGGCCTGGTTTACAGTAAGCAGGGAAGAAATGGAAGTGACCCTTAGTGCTTTGTGCCACCTCCTTTTCCTTTACCTAATTCTTCTTTATCTGGTAAAATAATTTTTATAGAGATGATGCCTTTAAGTTTGAGGCCTAGAATCTCAGAGTAAAGATTCTACTGATAAAATTTCAGCTCAGGAAGTATTTTGGTGAACTAGCAAGAGCAAAGATTGAACAACAAGAGGTCTAGACTCTAACTCCTGCTTGGCTGCTAACAAGTCAGGTGATCTGAGGGGAGACATCGTCCTTGGAGGGCCCGCACTTTCTCTTTCTGTAAAAGGAAGAGTTGGGATAAGATGGGCTCTTAAGTTCTTTCTAGTTCTGATAAGCTATGTATCTGTATGAAGGGTCATTCTCTGAGTGAATTATTTTTATTGATACTTAACTACCTGAACTGGTACTTATTTTTTTCTTCTGAGACTTCTTGTGTAGCTTTCTCTTACCTCACATTTTTCACCTGCAAAAGTGGTAGCTGAAGGTAGATCATGGAGTTGATCACCCTAGGTTTGGATTTCAGCACTAGCACTTGACTTTGGGCCAGTTATTTAACTTCTCTGGGCCTCAGTTACCTCATCTGTCAAATGAGGAAAGACGAAGGATAGATATAAGGATGAAAAGAGACAAAACATTTAGAAAAATATAACCCCAAAGGCTATATAGTTTAATGTCCTGAAGGGCACTAACCAGTTTTATCTCTTAGTGAACTTATTTCAGAATGTCTTTCTTTGTGGACTGTAAATATCTTGTTACCATCTTACTGGTTCTCTCATTAACTAATGAGTTGAATTAAATCACATATGTTTCATTCTATTTTCCGTATGAGAATCATATATTTAACTTTTTGAAAATTATCCTTTGTCCTAATTGACTGCCTTAAGACACTTTTCTTAGTGGATTGACCTCGGCAACATTTGCTTTGCTACAAATGCCAATTAAGTTATTGGGGAAAAAAACAAAAAACATACTGGGTTTCCATTTTTATATATTCTGCCCCCTTCTTTCCTATGTCAGTTGGCTAGAGCCAGGTCCTATGGGGGTGAAGGTGGGGAAACATCCCTTGGAGGAGACTCTACCCACTCGAAAAAGAAGTAATGGAGCAGCAAGATGAGATACTTTCATTGTGGCCTCTACATTTATGACTAGCAAGATAATGAAGGAAGGTAATTCTGAAAGCTTTATGTCACTTTTAGCGGTCCCTCAAGCACGGAGAAAGATAATAGTCAGTGGATGGTGCCCATAGGAGTTTTTCTCCTTCTCCCCTGACAGCCATTGGCCAGGATCATTTTGTATTTGTAACTGTTATCACTGAAGCATGGAGAAAAGGCCCTGCAAGGCCAGAAGGATGAGAGTGACTTCCCTGTAAGAATCTTCTATTGTCATCACTATGGCAGTAATAGTTACTATAATTTTCATTCTGCTTTCCTATAGAGTGTCTATTTAGTGGAGCTTAAGGCTATGGGAGTTGAGCCACAGAAAATCATACTACCATAAAATCATGCTTTGTAATCTTGCAAGAGAACCTATACAAGAAGATAATAATTACCAATGCAGGTCACTTGACTAATACAGTTATTTATGAGATGCTAATAGCTTTTCAGAAGCCTACAGATACAATGTCAATTTGACAGTTGTCTTTTTCTGTTTAGCTTATTCGACCACTGCCAGTTTTTCTCCCCAAGGATATGGCTCATCATGTGAGAGGACAATGTAAATTAATTGCAAATCAGTTTTCAATCGTTTTCTGGTAGTTTCTCTTTATTATCTGCAATTAAACCGTCAGGTCAGGAGCCATGCCTTTTATTTCATTATGCACAGCCTCGGCTCCTAAAACTGCTCTCTGCACAGAGTGAAATTTCAGTGTTGTTAGCTTCCTGACAGAATACTAGAGACATCTAACACTTCCAGAATACAACTCTGGGAAAGGAGCCTTCATACATGAAACAGGATGTGGGGCGAGCGGGGGATCTTAGGGTGGAATGAAGAATCTCAGAGAAGTCTCGAGGTCGGGAGAAAACAGACAACTGGACACAAAGGAAAGGGCTGCGGAGAAACGAGATGAAAACTAGAAAGACAAGCAAAAAGAACGAAGCCAGAGACGGAGCGGACTACAAAGAGAAAACAAAACAAAACAAACAAAAAAGAAAGGAAAATTCGCCAACCGTGGGGCTGATTAAAAGCAATGACTCGTGGAGGGGCGGAGACTACAGCCCCCAGAATCCCTTGCGGCGCCTCCTCGCTGGGCGCCAGTCTCCTAGGCAACCTCGGTAAACAAGATGGCGACCTCCGGGAGAGATCCCCAGTGGCCGAAGCTTTCCTCTCACCAGGGCTACGGGAACAGTTCACGCAATGGAGTCGGGTCGGTACTGTTGCGCTCAGAAAAAGATCGCTGGTCTTCTTTTCCCATGGGGCAGAGACCTAAAGGCAGTTACCTCAAAGGCTCCTCCTACCTGCTCCAGCAGCTCATTCACCGATATCAGGAGTCGGACGCAGACAAAGAGTACCAGGGCGAAGCTGAAGAAGTGGAATCCTCAGAGTCCTCAGAGTCAGAGATGCTGAATTTGGAGGTGTGCCTTCTCCCCACCCCTCACCCTCTCTTCTCCAGCCCTGGAGCCCTACTACTTCAGCAGCAGCTCCCCGGCACACCGCTCCCCCGCTCGTCGCTTAGCCCATTCCTTAGGCTTTCGCCTCCAGGAGTGCGTCTTTCTGACCGCTCGGAGGCTCCCCCTTTCCTTCTCATTTCTGTTACCTCTTTCCTCACCCCTTGTTGAAATATTTCCAAGCCTCCCTTATTTTTCATTAGCACATTTGGTCTCTTAGAAGTCAATACTCAGCGTCGTTTTAAAAAAACAAAAAACAAAAAACCTATTCGTACGGGAGTTATGGCTTTAACTTTGTCAGAATTATTCCTCGACAATATTGTCAGTAGGTAGAGTTCATCTTCGGCATCTTCTGCACCTTTCACATGATTGTGAAGAACTCCAGCCGTCTCCCCCATGTCTAGCTCCTTCATCCTCCTTCCTCTAGGGGGGAAAAAAATTACTTTTTTGAAATAATCTGATAAGTGCTTCCTCAAACACTAAGTGACCTGAGAGTTTAATTTATTACTTCTGCTAGAGGTATTTGATGCATTATACAAGCAAAACACACACACCCCTACCTCACTGTGGGAGTATTTTAGCACGTGTGGAATGTTTCAAACATTCCCGTCTATACTGCCTGGGGCAGGGCTTTGCTTTTCACATTAATACATATTTCCTCTTTTCTTCAGTACCTCTTCTAACCATCACTCAATTCCACTTCTTTCTTATCATCATCCTGTTCCTTTCTTAGCCTGTGTTACATATTTTCTTGTCCCTTTCCACTTATCATATCGCTTCCTTCTCTTGGTTTCTAATATATTATTTGTTTTCTTTGAAAAACATGAATTGATTTGCTCCCTTTAATAAACTGTTGTGTTTTCTTCTTCGTCTTGGCTGCCAGGAAATTTAAATCATTATTTTTCTTAATTTCAATAGTTTCTCTTAAGATTAAGTTTCTCTCTCTCTCCTTTCCTCTTCTGGTATAAATTGCTTCAAATTCTTTTCAGAGGTAGACGTGATACAGAGAAATAGAACGTTCCCAGTATCCCCATTCTGTGATATGCTGCTGGCATCTTTGCATCTTGGTACTTCTCCCTAGTCGCCCTTCCTCCTTGAGGCCAATGTTTCTCTTTGTTATACCTGTTCTCTCACAAATGCTTTTCCTTATTGGTCTTACTTCTTATTCTCCCCTCTAACTTGCAATGTCTTTGGTTACTCAGATTCTACCATTTACCACATACACTTTCTCCTACTTGAGTTTCCTTCTTTTGTAATGTCCTTTTTGCTCACTTTCAATATTTAGCCCATTTTTTTCCACCCCCATTTTGTCTTTCCTTTCTACCTCTTTCTACATGGACTAGTTACATATTAGTTTTGCTTAAAGTGGACCCTAAGCAATTACTACTTATTTGTTCGTCTTTTGTTGATTTACTTTGCTACCCTCAACAGTGACTATTGCAGAACTGTAGCAGTGTTTTTACAAGTTCAAGATGTTTGTGTGGTTTCCACGAGCTTCCACCCCAGAGGAATTCAGAAATGAATCACCAGTTCACTTTATTATTCTAATTAAGCATACTCTTTAGTTATGGGCTTCATTAAATCTGTCTTCAGTATGCCATTAACGAGCCATAGAGGGGGGGCTTGACTTGAACTGGTTATTCCTTTTTGGCTTATAATAGGATGTATGTGGGAAAAGTTTATCAGTTCTTCCTTTTCCATTCTAAATATGAATATTTATTTTGTGTTCTCACATTCTATTTTAGCTTTTCATAGTATCATAAGTTTTAATATACTGAATAAACTGAAAAGTTTAAAAGGAAACATTTGAGTTTTTATGTTCAGTGATATATTTTCCCTCTTGGCCTAGTTATGATTTATAATGTTGTGATGCCCACAGTGATTATTGAGTGCCTGTAACGCAATTAGCCTCAGACCTCAGAAGCCCTTATGAACTTAAGGGAGGTAGTACAGACCAGTTGTTCAGAATACTGCCTTTGGTCCGTGTAAAAAAAGCCTTTTGTTGTGAGATTTTAAGCAAGTTACTTTACCTCTCTCTGTTTTATCTGTAATATGGGAATTATAATAATGCCTATCTCATAAGAGAGATCTGAGAATTAAGTGAAATTCTATATGTAAAATACCTAGCATAGTATATCAATTTATACTGTTACTGATACAAAAAATAACCTGCATGTTTTTCTCTGCTAACTATAGCCTATTAAGTGGTTTAACTAATTCAGCCTTCAGTGAGCAAACACGTACTGAATGATTGCTATGTAGGAAGCACTGACTATATAGGGCAAAAGAAGTGTCTGGGCCCATTATATGTGTCTGATGCATGACAACCTCTCTTTGCTAGTAACTTAATGTGAGTAAATAATGCCTACTCATTAGATAGTTATGCACATCAAATGTAATGAGAAACTCTACGTTAAAGTTTTTAGTAGAGTGTCTGATACAGAGTAGACTCTCAAAAACTTACAGATGTTATACATAATAGCAACAGTAATGATAGAAGATGATGACATACATGATCCCTGCTTTCAAGGTGAGATAAGAATGTGAGTAAATTGTAGCTATTCAGCATGTAAAGTATTATATACACAGCCATGTACAGATGACAGCTAGATCGCAGGGATCAAGGAAGACTTTAAGGAAAAGAGACTCTTGTCTGGGTGGAGAGGTGGCGTGTGGGCAGGCAGATGGCTGCTTTTTCTACCAATGAGTTATAGGTGAGAGCAGAAAAAGCAGCCGAGGTGGGGGCCAGGTTGTGGAGTCTCTGTGCTGTT